ACACTTAGTCTTTTTTTTTTTTTTGTTCATTGGGGAACATGAAATCCCCCACAATTCCTCTTGGAAGGCCGTTTGTGTCGAAAAAAGTCAATGGACTGAAACAATCAATTTATGTAACATTGATTTATAATTGTGTACATGCGAGATTCATAGTGTTGATCACATATTCATATAAATTATTCCCATTTAAACCATATCCGACGAACAAGTACCCATATGGTGCCCATTCCTTATCATCCCAGGATCAAGGGACCTGCAGGAATACTTTTTGTGCACATTACCTGATGCCGGGTCCACCTTGGGAAAGGCGCAGAGCTCCCAGAGCCTCTGGAGCCTCTTGATGCTCCTCTGGCCGTTATCCTTGTCTCGTAAAACCTCCCTGATCTGCAAAAGGTTTTGCTCCAAACCGTGCCTGAGCTCATCCAGCAGGCCGGGAGGCATGGCCAGCTCTCCCCGGTGGACGTGATACGTGGAGCCCGTGAAGGAGAAGACGGTCGGGGCTGACGAGTTGATGAGTTCCGCCAACACGGACTCACTGGAGGAGAGATCCAGGCTGATGGGGGGCAGAGGCTGCAGAGACTCCTGCCTCAGCGGAGGAGCGTGTGGACTCTTGTGAGGAAGGGAATCACTCAGGAAGCGGCGCAGCTCACACAAGAAGGAGATTGGCTGTGATAAGCCGGAAACTTTGGTGCTATTGAGAAATTGAATTGACACTTCAGAATAAAAAAAATGTGGGTTTGCATTTAAAGGGGAAAAACAAGACACTGGACAAACCTGATATCCTCTTCAAGAGAGAAAAGAAGAACTGGAGTCACGTTGCTTCTTCTTGTATTTCCATCTGTAAGGAGTTCTTTCATCCTTTTCTCTACGACAAGTACATTTGGATGAGCATGTGCTCAGGGGAAAAAAATACTACTGTATTATCATTTTTATTTATGATATTTAAAATTACAGTGATAACTTGACTCACAAGTTTACTTTGTTCCATGATCACACTCTTAACTTAAAACACTCCTTTTGTATCTCTAAGTGGAAAATGCTATTTCTGAATACACTGCTTTTGAATGCTAGAATACTAAATGAAAAAAATGGGAATCAAGTGGAATGACATTGAATAAAACTTATGAATTATGTGGAACCAAACAGATTGACTTTTTATTCCAATTCGGACTGAACAGTATTAATGTACTAACAAAATAATGAAGAAAGAAAATACATACTCATATTAGGGGATTTGGAGTCAATAGAGAGCATCCACCTTTGGTGTTCCATGCACGCTTGTCCTGTTAGTAGAACATATTGCGTTCCTTCTGACATGCACACAACCTCCACAAAAAAACAAACAAACAAATGAAACATGGTGGACATATCACAGTGAATTGAACCAATTGCGATGGAGTCTACCTGTGTGTTGGGTAGCAGAGACTGACTGGTGAAGGTGATCTGGTCTGAATCGCCTCCACTGAAGGGACTTTCCAAAGCCAAGAGCAGAACAAACTTGTGTTGAAGCAAAGGGGATTGTGGGATGTGAAAGTCGAGAATCACTGCTTCCCGATCATCCTCCTCCTCCACTAAAAACACTGAGGAGAGTAAACGGTGCCAACGGTTCACTTATTTTTACACTTGTATGACAGTGAAGATCATTGAAATGCTAATTTAAACAATTGTACAGTTGAGACCCAGTTGCCGTCATAAGGAAGGGTCATAACAATCACCAAAGGGCCCCAGAATTTATTGCAGCCATAAAACTCGCAAAATTCCCCAAATGGACTTGCCCCTCTCCATCTCAGTGGAGAAGATAATAAAGATTTTATGTTGGCTTCAGCTTGTTGTGACATCATTACCTTTAGTAGGATGCAGGAGCTTCACTGTACCACCTAGCTTCCTCTTTGCATCCTTCGCCAGATCCAACAAGACCGCGAGACTCCCAGAAGCCGCGCACATTCCGAATAAGGTGGCGCCGCCTGGCGTCAGCTGGCCGTCGTCCTCGAGAGCCTCTCGCATGGCGGCCAGCACGTCTTCCAGGAAGCACGCTGTGCTCTTCGGAAGCACAAGGGAGGCCAGCGTGGAGCGTGTCGGCAACAGTGTAAGGCTCCTTTCTCCTGCCTCTTTGGTGGACGCCGGCCTCTTCGTGGCTATAAATACAAATGTCTCATGAACAGCGTATCAAAAGAAGAAACCCTTTCAAGGCAACTGAAATGGAATTTGAGGACAAAGCATCACGGACGTGGAGAGTAGAGGGTGACGCACCGTTTCTGCCTGGGCTGATGCTCAAAGTTTTTTACTTTTTGCTGCCCATTGAAAATTTTGTATCAACAGGGTGGGGTGGAATGATCACACCCCCCCGCCCTTCAATCCCCACTTTGCATACTCCTGAGTGAAGAACCTTCTTCCAGATCAAAGGGTCAGTTTAACCCTTTCAGGGACAGCGGTTACTACAGTGGACAGTTTATTATGTTATCAGGTTACAGGGTGCATGAAAGAGTTAAACCACACTAGATTCATGGAAAAATATGAAAACAATAGTATAGTATACGGACTAACTGTTTTTCGTTTTCTTTGAGGTCTTCTTTGATTTCAGAAATAGAGAAATGGTGGGCGGGAAATATAGTTAAAAAAAATACTGTAATATATCTATTAAGTAGAATATTCCAAAAAATTATATAAAAAAAATGAAAAGCATCAACATATATATTTGAGTTTAATTCAATAAATTACCACTAAAAAGTGTACAACTGTACAGTTTATATGACAAATATTAGGCGTAGAAAAAAAGGAGTGTGTTTCTGGTAACACGAAATTTCAGCATAGGGTCGGTAGGTCGGGCAGTTTTTTTTTTTCATCAAAAATGTAAACAAAATAACAAAATAACCATAAAACATAAAACAAGGAGACATTGAAAACCCCGCTCGCCGCCAAAGGTGGCGAGAGAGTTGGGTAACCGGCGGCTGGGTGTTACAGCCATCTCGTTACCTCTGTGTCCCGCGTCCTAGACGCATAATTTTCCCACGGGACGCAAAGTTCCAAATAATGTGCGTTTTTGGGATGCAAAGAAATTTCTCAGTCGAAACAAAACAAAAAAAAAAAGACTACGGCAAGCCTGAGGATTTCGCGGTAACAATAATTACCGGTAGAGTGTCGTTTCCGTGGCGTCATTTTAACGGTACCGAAAAATAGTTTAACCATTAAAGTCACTGCACACGACTTGACTGTGTGATCACACTACTTTTTTTTTTTCTACGCCTAATACATAAAATGTGATATGTTAGTAATATATTTAGTAAAGTTTGAATATTTGAACCAAACAAAAAACATTTTTAATTAAAAATACATTGTACTCATAATTAATTAATGACTACAGTGAAACTCCTCTACAACGAAATTATGTTTGCAGCAAGAAATTTTTCACAACAGGGGGTTTTTCACAGTAGCAAATTTAATCTCAGATGTAAGCACACACACACCCACACACACAAACGTATGTGTACACGCACACACAAACGTTTGTGTACTCTATTTTTATTCCAATAGTACATAAGTATGAGCACACACTTATTTGACACTTCATATTGTCAGTGTAGAAAGAAAAAAAGGGAAAGAAATTGCGAAATTTACGATCAGCATTCACTTTCACTAACATCAATTTCTTGGAAAATGTCTTTTATTTTGCTTGCTCCGTCTTTCATTTTGATCACTTTTACCCTCTCTTCCAGCATCAGAGCTCTTCTTGTCTT